GTTATTGGTGATTTCTGGCAGTGGTATGAACAGCCAGCGTGTGACGTCTCGTTTATATTTTGCCAAACAAATAATTCCTTTCATGCGGAGACGATGAAGTCATACCAGCATTTATATTTCCGTATACATTAGTTTACATTTTCTTTATTGTTTGTATCTATTCAGAAACACAGCAAACAGTCATGCAAGCATAAATTGATAAGAAAAGCAATATAAAAGACGATATGGGCTGTACACAAATACAGTGTCGCTTTGCATGGATAGCCTGCCTCTGACGATTTTTTTTTGTAATTTGACGTTGTAAAATCAGTAATGCGTCTGCACCAGATGAAGCCACCCCACAGCATATACTCATAGCGGAAAGGAAGTGGCCGTTTTCCATTTCGGAACCTTTATCGGAACAATATAATTTGGAAAAAAAAGATAAGAGTTTTCGTGATAAAAGGCACCCTTAGGTATTATCTACTGTAATTCAGTTTCCACGATACAGAACCGTGATGTTGTTGTGTCATTTTGGTCAAACGTAATGTAAATAACCCATTAACAATTCTTCCGGGCATAGGACGTACATGGGCATTATTCCCCAACGTATAATTTGAGTTAAACATATCTTTAAAATATTTAGGCATTTTGGCTGTTTTCCTTTCTTAAAACAATTGTAACATTGAAATGAAACAGAAGAGGGTGTCCTTAGGTCTAATCCAAAACATTGACTTTTTAAAAATATGACTTAGCTGGGGCGGATCCAGGATTATATAAAGGGGGGGGGGGTCTGCAGATGCAAAGCCGCCGCCACCCCACCCCACCCCCCTTGCGTTGGGGTTTGGGACCCTTCATTTGGTATTTTAGAGGGCGAAATGTGCCATTTGGTATGGTTAAGAACTATGATTCTGCTAGACAAAATTCTACTTCTCAAAAGAGGACCATTGGCATGAATTTTCTTTGGAAATCGAAAGGGTAGATCAGGAACCTCTAACACCCCCTAGTTCCGCCACTGCTTAGAAAAGATATTGTAATATATGACTCGGGAAAGATATAGGTTCGCTGATAACAACTTTATTTTGAATTGTTTTGTCGAAAGGAATTTTATTTGGAAGATAGATATAAGGAATTCGACTAAAACGAACTCCTTCTGACATACATGTTTTTGTCTTCTTCAGTATTTTGGATTTCCATAGAATTCTGCTGTTTTTGCGTCACTTTGGCCAAACATATAATGGAAACAACCCATTACATATTCCTCCGCCTCCATGAAATTACTGACATCGTGGTCAATTGTTTTGAATGGTTCTTCTGAGGGCATTGCGCTGTAGAATATGAAGAAAAAGTTTGCATATTCTCTGAGAGAGACTTTGTCATCACAGTCATCATCTATTATATGAAACCAGTTCCAACACCATTGCAGTTGAGAGAAAACCAGCGAGGAGGAGCACAATGTGACTAAATCAAGCCACAAATTGAGGCTCAATTCGTCCCTTATTTTTGTTCCAGGAAGAAACAAAGAATCCCAATCGGTGCTCATCACTCCGTAAACGGCCTTGGCTCTCCAGGGGGACAAGACTTGACGACTTCTATTTGCTGTTCCCTCTACGTACTCCAACCTGGTAACCTTCCCATCTCCATTGATGTCCCTCATTCTAAAACTTTTACTTAATTTCTCTCTCAAAAGACCAGATATCTCATTGTCTTCTTTAACCTGTATATTAATATAAAGTATAATATTTGCTGATTGATGCATCATATAATTGCTAACAGTATATAATGTTCTTTTGCAGTGTATATATCTAAAATATTTAAGGGATCAACGTGAATTTTAGGTTTGAAAATTAGATCTATCTTCTTTTGCACCGCATTGTATTGTTTGCAATTTTCAACTACAAAAATATATTAAATTCATATTAATTCTAAGCAATATATATTCCAAAACTCTTTTGTCAAGCGTGTAGTTAATTTCAACAATTTGATCCTATGTCAGCGTTTAGAAATGCATACCATGCATGAAAAATTGTCTTATATAATATTCAAATCACCATGTGCACACAGGTAACACTATATGTGATGGAATAACTGATTTTATATTGACTTCTGTTAAATCCTAGTTCCCACGTGGTATGAACAAACCTTCTATGATGAAGTGGGACTCGATCCAAAAAGGACCGATATGGCCTGGAACTCCATTTAAGTCAACTTTATTTGACTAATGAGAAATAATGAGAAAAAATGTATAACTCTGACACTGGACCTTACATTTAGCAGCTGACTGACGTTTATTTGACTAACTTACTATGGACTCAAGTGGAATTCCAGTGGAATTTCTGATAAATAGGTCCTACCTTTTAATCATCTCCTCAATATATTCCCTATGTGTGCATGGATATCACATGGAACTCACCTCACGTGTAAATAGTTCACGGCCCCTGGCATTACATCCTGTAGACAGCACTAGGCTTAACACGAAGGTAAACGTGTACATGGGCGAACTATCCATCTAATAATGATAATAATTGGACTTCAAGTATCACTTTGGGCGATTGTTTACATTTTAATAACGTGACGCTCAAAGTGAAGATGATAACAAAGAAGCACGCCATGTAGGCACAATGGATACATAATCTGTATATACCGCTGACACATAATAAAAGTGTATTTAATTCCTTTAGTATGGCTATTCATAAGTTATACATGTACACAGTTAAACTGTACTATGATAAAGTGTTATTTTGTATACTTATAACCATGTTAGACTACGAATCATTCCAAAAATAAAAAAGAAAACTGCTTACCGCTGTTGTCGTATTATGAGATGTCCTGGTATGTTTTGATGATCCAGAGCGTGCTGCGTCATTTATATTGGGCTATATAATTAATTCAATACTTTACGCCGAGACCAGGAAATCATACCAGCATTCATTTATCCAATCACATCGCTTTGTGTTATGTAAGTCTCCCTTTTCTTTATTCCCAGTATTGATGAATAATCGTATTGAATTATTTGTATTGAACATTCCGAAAAACCATGACATATGTTATTTTAGGGTACTGACATTGCATATTTTCAGAAATAGACAATGGTGAATCTTACACTTAACAGCATGTAATGTAATGTAATGTAATGTAATGTATGTATTGTTTTTGGTGAGTAAAAGCGAATCACCTTACAAATAAAGGTAGCGTCAAAATTCCTACATTGCTGCTTAGCCTGATATGGAATTTTCAGGTCTTGTAATCTTAAAATACAGGGCGTATGCAAAACTCGTCAATTAGTGTAAAATTCTGTCAGCAAATGCAATTTATGTTTTCTTTTTTATGATTTATGATCATAATGTATCATATTACAGCAGGCATGCATGGCACAATATGAAAAATAGTCTACGCCAAAATAGGCCACCATCCTATCCTGTTCGTCGATTGTATTGTAGTCGCTTGTGTTGATGCCGAGACCATGGAATCAAACCAGCATTTATCATGTGAAGTACAACAGTTTTCATCGTTTTCATTGTTTGACTCTATTCAGAAACACCATAATCTTTCATGTAAACATAAAGTGATGACAAAAGAAACAAACTAACGGTAAATGATACAACACATTAACAGAATCAAATAATAAAACACGCATGGTTGTGGAATCTGTTGAAAGAAGAAATATGGCAAAGGAGAAGTAAAAGGAAATATGGTTATAAATGTACGATCCTGACATTACCAACCCATGCTTCCTTGTGTGCACACAACTGTTCCTCCATTTTCAGGAAGTTGGGCAACTAGACTGACATGCGTATTCGCGAGATTTAAAATTCTTTTCAGTAGTTATTGGGTGCTCTAGACAGAGTCGTAAGGTCTAGGCGACTGTTATGGGTTGAATTTTGACAAAGGTACATTAACAAATTGGTTGAGCCAGTACCCCTTAGGGCAGGGTATGTCACCCGGATTCGTGGCATCTATACTAGATTCCAACTCTCCGATAGAAGGTTGAACAAACTTAGCTAAGGTATAGTAATCCATACTTCTAGGCCAGGATATCTTTTTTCTCTTTTATTTTACCAAATATACATCAGATATGAACCCAAATAAAATGAAAGGACACTCTCACTTAAATTTAAAGTAGGAAGTTAAAATAAAACACAAATGGGTTGGTTAAATGGAGTTTTTTCATGTCTTTTTGCCATAATGTGCAAACAGAGAAGGTAATGCAGCAATTGTAATATAATCAATCAAAAGTTCAAATTGCCTTTCCGATAAACTGTTAAGCTCTTACCACAATACGCGGAGTCATTTTCGAATCCAGACATACTAAATTACTCATTGTCATATTATCAAAAAGTCTCTCACATTGTTTGATTGCAAAATCTACAATTAATTTGTTTGTGCATAGATATTTTCCATTTTCCCATGCTGATGTATACGCTTGTCCTTCTTTCCCCGTGATTATTAAACATCATGCAACGAACCTTTTTTATGTAATGGCGTGGCGACAATAACTCATGTCTTACTTACAGTATTAACGGATTAACTATTCTTTAAGCATCCCTATCCAGACTCATATGGAATTTGCATACTCAGCTTAAGATGGCATGAACAATATTTCAATGTAAACCAACGGGATACAAATTATCACAATCTATAAATACGGTAAATATGTGTTGGAACCACAGATTTCAAAACTGTTTTATGTTTGTGGATAATTATAAGTTATCAGTAGGCGTCCATTGTCTATTTTCTCAGTTTCCTTAGATTTAAGAAGGAAACATTTATATAATTGTAACAGGGAAATAAGTGAAGATCAGTGTTACTCATTTAATATAATAAAATTATCACACGTCATGACCATGCAAATTTCACGACCTAACTAAAAATAGGGGTTACTGCAACGTGGTGAACGCCGTTCTTTCCCATCGTTTAATTCCGTCGGCTCCTCGCCTGAGAAGTACTCAAATGCGCTGTTGTCGAACGAAGTTGAATAACAGTTTTCATCTCTCTGATGATGAGAGATAGGTGCTTGGTATTCACCGTGCCTGGAGGAAGTGGGCCTTATAACTGGACGTGGAATGTTGGTTGCAATCGAAGCAGGAGAAATGCTCGACGCCTGCTTGCTACAAAGGCAAATAGGTATTAGTTAAGTTTAGCATCATAGGAAACCATTTTTTGTTACTGACATATTCGGGAAGATGAATATATGACTTTCTTGTTATTGGCACTCAGCATGATCTATGCTTGTCTTATCATTACACTTATGTTGATATCAGTTATCTTAACTCTTCATCCAGTTACCTTTTCAATCGCTGTATTTCCCTCCAGTGGACATAACAAAAGATGCCAAATCCGAAAACGGCAACAATAAAGGCAAGAGAACCCAGCACGGCACCTATTATCCATATAGTCGGGGGCTGAAGAATTTTTGGCGGCGAGGCTATTTTGATCTTGCACACTGTATGGACAAAAGATGAAAAATGGAATCGCGCTAAACAGCAATGACAACAAAACTGCAATGCAGAATTCACACACATTTTGAGAAAGGACCATAACTACGGGCAATTTTGTTTTTTGCAAATGATATAGTCATGCATTCTGCTTACCTTACAACAACCGTTGTAGTCATCAGATTCAATCCTGTGGACATTAGAATCATCACTGATGTCATGAGCACAATCTATAGTGTCATTAATATGCAGGTCGTCTAAGAAAATGTTAATCTAAATTCCTCAGATAGGGTCGTCAGCAATCAAATATTTTAACGCAAAAAGCAATTTGTGTAAAGTTGAATTTTTTTTTTTTTACATTTGCAGTAGAGGGCGTCTGAGCACCAAGATCTGTCCACGTTAAAGCCATGTCACAGTGGTACGAGGTGACAGAAACATACCTTCAGGTGCAGTCCAATCGTGCACACTGGTATTTGGATAACACACTTTGCCACTGGGACCAAGCTGGCATTGAGTGTAGCACTTGCCATTAATAAGACAGAAACCAATCTGAAAAATCATTGAAGAAAAAAAAACTTGAAAAGTGTAAAAAAAACACATGAACGTCCCTCATGGTGTTATGTTCTTCACAAAGTAGAATCGACGAGCAGGTCAAAATATGCACGACATTATCCATTTGATTTCTTTCTGCGTTTTAACAAGGGAAATATAATATTAATACATTTGTCCGTTTACCTTTATAGACCAATCCTCAACAGGCTTATTCGCAGAACAATACTGACAGGACGAGCCCGGCTTGACATCTCCATCATTATAACACTGCGTGTTTATACTGCATGTATTTGGCTATATTCATTAAGGTAAGAAAAACTTTTATATTTGTTCATAAACAGTTGCACTTGTTATAGTTGTATGATTCGATCTTTATGAAATAAGACACAAGCAAAACTGATTTTAGAAATCAATAATCTAGCGTCTAAATCATTTTTGCTACAACTGTAATTTATCATATATTTGAAATACATTAATTGACTTCATAAAACAAACTGCAATGCAAAGAAGCAAATTTACCTGTCCAATGAAGACGTTTATAATACTACAACCTGATCACATGCTACAAGTGGTGTGCTTAATTTTAATTATATACCACTGGTAATAAATGTTCCTAACACAGAACCTGTTGTGATGACGAAAGTTAAGCATGGGGGGGGGGTGTGAAAATCACGTTGACAAAGTAACAGAAATGCACACTTAAAGGAAACAAAACGACAAACGAATGACTATACAAATAGTTCCTTTTACAATATAAAAGCATTCTTCCAGGTTTGCCAACACCGACCGTGTAATGCTTGGTACAAGTTTATCATAGGGGAGAGCGGGGTTGGTTGGAACAGTTTTCACCTTTTTTGCGATATCTCAGCAGTCAAAGCTTTGGGGACAAAAATAAAAAATCTGATAGGGGAAAATTATATGCCGCACTTATCTATGAAATAAAACATCAAGTACGTCTTTTTATTTTAGAGTAATAAATGCTCAAAGTTGGCTCCTAAAACGTTCCATCTCACCCCACCCGCGGGGTCAGTTGGAACAGGCAGTGGGGTGAGTTGGAACAAGAGGGCGAGTTGGAACGCTTGCATATAAATTCAAAGTATAATTCATTTTAAGAGTAGGTTTATCTATATTAATTTCCCAACAAGTACCTGTTACTTTGTATTCGTATCTCCATAGTTTGTAAGCATTTTTTACGTTTACAATTTGCTTTCAAATAGTCTTTTCGATGTATAAACCATATCCAGTTACACTTCATTTCATAATGATAACAAAAGTGGTGTAGTTTAAGAGAAAAGAAATTGAACTCATATAACTCAACCTATTAACAACAGTATGTTAGACCTACAAATGAAAACTGTATCTCTTTCAACTCAACAACTCAGAATCAAAATCGCAGTTCTGACATATGTAGGCCCTANAACGCTATGCACAATTTCAGTGATATAATCCTTATACTTTAGTTTACAGCACGATGAATGTCAAAAATATGAAAACTTACTTCGAGTAGCGAAAATAAGTTTTTTTCGCATAAAACTTTTACTGCATTTTCGAAACTTCCACAAGTTTACCGGATGAATGACCATGCCACGTGACATTTTTATGCTGAAGGAGCACATGATCGGTCTTCTGATTTAAGAAATAAAGCCAATGTTCCAACTTACCCGCGTTCCAACCCACCCCGCTCTCCCCTATATATATCGCATTTATGGTACATTCTTTGGGCGCCACATGAACGACGAGTCATTTAAGAAAAAAAAAACATATATAGGAAAAGGAACACTATTTTGGTGCTTGTCATTTGGACTACGTAACGTACGAGTAGATATCTACTTACTCGACGGTACCAAGTGGAGTTGCTGTAGGTGATGTTACAGATGCTACATTTATCAGCGACATTTTCCTCTCCGTCGGCGTAACAACCACAATCTATGGTGCAGATATCGGTCTGGCAAATGTAAGAATAAGTTTAACAAAACCTTACATTCAAATATGTTTGCAAAATGACAAAAGGTACGAAACACATATAACAGAAATACTCATTTAGTTTCCATATCTTGTAAATAATAATAATAATAATCACAACTTCCAAAAGTTCATGTAACAAAAGCAAAAGTTTGCCACAGTTACATTGTTAAAAAAAAGATAAAGACGGCCTTTATTTGCAACACAGGAAGCTTACCTTCAGCTTACAGTTTTTTGCGTCATTACTATTACAAAGGAGACACTTGTCATCATACTTCATCAGGTATGTAGCATTGCTAAATGTTGCGTTGTTATTGCTGACGCTAATGCCATAACGGTACATAGGAGGAAGGGTACACTGGTTACTGCGCTTTTGGCGTCTGAGGTTGGGTAGAAGACACAAAACTTCCTCGAAGTGAACAAATTCTGCTGGTATAACTATCTCCGTTTTCCTGGCGGCTTGCTGAGCTTCTACCATGACCTGAATCAGACAAACAAATAAGTAATAATGTATTATATCATTTGAAATCGATTGTAATTTTCATTTACTTCTCAACCTGATAACAAAATGATCTCGCTCCCCCCTCTTCAGTTTAATAACGCAGATATTTTGGGAGCTGTCATTACCAATTTCTAGTTTGTATCTTTTAAGAGCTCAGTGCTCACATTACCTCCTGAATTTCCACTTTACATGTTAAGTTTTTATTGTCGAGAAAGGTGCCACCGTAGACGGGTGACCTTGCACATGGTCTTGACCTAGTTTTACACAGACCGTCGCCCGGGAGATAATAAATGATCGGTGCGGCGTATATATCCACGGAACAGTCTTCGCCAGCGAACGTTTCTTCGCAGTTACAAGTGCCTGTGAATCCACAACATCAGAATGTTGAGACAATGTAATTTATGTAAGCATGTAGGTCAAAAACAATGTTTGAAAGAGCATAAACAGACAATAAAGGCACAATAAGCTTGATTTCGTAGATGTAATTTTCATTTTTGCTTTGAATTGAAAAAGTATGAAGTCACAGACCGTTGCTGCACTGGCCATGTCCACTGCATTCATTTGGACACATCACAGCCTCCATTTCTTCGGGAAGGGAAACTTCGCCAGTCTCGTTGTTAGTCACCCAAAATGTTGTGTTTTTTTCTAGTTCTCCGAGACACGAACTCTTGACGGCCTGAAGAGCAGCAGGCGCCCATTCTGTGCTACCAGTTAGCTAGAGAGGTGAAACACGATAAATAAACATGTCCCATCCAAAATATAGACTGCATTTTGCAAATGAAATTAACATTACATATCATTTTTGTCGTTAGAAAACGGGAAATGTTACTTTTATAGAACATTAAATTATGCAAAAAATTGTTATTTAAAACAAGGCTTATTGGGGAGTGACTATATGTGAGTGCTCTCGTATTCGGACCCAAGGTGTTGCTGAACTAACTGTGTAATGATGGGCAAGTGGGAGACCCTTTTTGGACTTACGTATATATCTTCTACACATCCTTTAATGGAATTTGTGAAATCGGCACCTGCAACCGACTCGCACGATTTGCCCGTGCTAGTATTCGCCACAAACTCTTCACAGAATTCACGTGCAGTATTATTTGTCCAATTGTTCTTCCACGATGGTTCCTAAACATAGTTTTAAGGTAAGTTGTGTTGATTGTTTTGTGCATTTCGAACTGTAAAGCAGATATGTTTCTCTACAATTGCTCTGAAAACTGCAAAATCTGTATTTATCGTGTAAATCAGGCGTCCAGTCAAAACTTAAGGTACGGTGATCTTAAATGTGATAAAGTGCTAAATTAGGTTTTTTCGCTTGTGCTATCTTATCAGGTATTTTCATACAACATAGAAACGTTATATTGTTACTGCAAATAAAAAAGATTAGGTCGATTTACCGGCACTCTATGATCAATGTCGAATTCGAATACTCGAGTTTCCAGAACATCGTCATGACCTTGATCGTGCTTATCTGCGGCTCTACGGCGTCTACATTTTTGTTGCTCGCCAGAGGAAAAGCTCCCATCCCCTGGACACTTGGCAATATTCTCCTCGTAACCACACTGCTCGACCGAATTGGCGTCATTGCTCTCTTTCGCACACCGGCAATAGTTGGACCGTGGTGACTGGTTTGGTGCGTTCGACTGGGAAGGTGGAGGCCCGTTATAAATTGAATCTCGCGGCTGTACCCTAAAGTTGAAGACTAACGTATATTCTTGGTTCAGGGGTTTCAAGACCATTGTATATATGAGCGTATGTATATGCAAGTGTGTAATTTGTAAGAACTGTCTTCTTAGAATATTTCACCTTTTAGCAATTTATTTGCTTTCGGGAAAATAAACAAAAATATGTGAGTTCCCCGTATTTTAAAATACCTCCATGATAGTACAAATCTTCTTGGATATCTGGTAACCCGATCAATCTGTCCGTATCTAGTCAGGAAATCGTCATATCGGTCATTGTTGAGCGTTCCACACAGTCCGACAGTGTTGTTAAAATCCTTTGCTCCTGGTCGAATCTGCACGTTCATAAAGTCGTCGTATCCGTACCGATACACCACGATAACCACATATCCGCCAGTTGGAAGGTATACCTTAACACGTAAATGTGCCGTGACTCGAATTGCTATGTCATGCATATTCTTGCATGTACTTAGAATCATTTTAATGCAATTACCCTCATAAAAATGATTCGTTTAAACAAAACTAAAATTAAATGAAATAAATGTATCATTAAATACAACCTCAATTGCCGATAGGCTGTCACTTTCCTTCGCAAGGAGAGCATTTATGCTACCACCTGTATAACTAGACAACAATGTCAATGTAACACAGTTTAGTTTTGTCATGCATCATATGGCACTTTACCTTAAAGTGTTTGCCGCCATTTTGAGATTCTACTCTTAACTGTCCTTCCTCACAGCCGAGTAGTCCAGCCCGCATTGGTCTCTTGGCAGTGATTTGATCCACTCCTGAACCAGGCTTGCATGTGTCCACTATAAAGACGTCCCCCCCGGACATAACACTCACGGCACAGTTACAGTATGCCAAACCCCGATTACACGTCTTGAAAAAGACATGCACCTGCAAGAACCAGGTCGTAAATATTATGAACAAAGCAAGTTTTCATTTATTGCACTTTGGAGATGTGAGGAATATTCCCAAGTAAAGTTTATGTTAATTTCTGATGATATCGGACATAAATGTATTTTTATTAGATTCTAATGATACAGAAACACGGGCAACATAATAAATAAATGAGTTCACGTTTAAGCAGACAACAGGTGAAGATGTTCCATTAATGCTCTATCAATTACCTGAATTGGTAATTTGGTATGTTTGTACAGAACAAATTCTCCGCCGAACTGGCATTCGTAGGGGCTGCAAAAATGAAAACAACGCGTGATATGGCGTTATCCACATTATCATTAAAAGATGGCAAAACAGTCAATTCATTCCGAGATGTTTCACATGATAACTACAATGCACATTCCAAAGACTGTTTAAGGAGTAATTTTGCACATATACAATTGTTTTTTAGAACCGATAAAATGACCCCAATTACTCTGAAACATATTTGCAAGGTACTGCAGTTTGCGTCCGCTTTAAGTCAAAACTGTGACAAAAATGCTTTAGTGATAACGTCGGCAGTTGATATGTTGGTACAACATTCCATTCTGTAATTCTTGTATATTTTCTATTTGAATAGTCGGTAAAAAGATCGACAGTTTACTGTACTACAAGAGAGAGAGAGAGAGGCTGTATTCCCAGAGCTTTTAGATCGATCTATTCCCGCGGGGAGTCTCATTAGATTACTGTCATATAATCCGGCTTAAATGTCCGTCCCGCCTACTACAAGCTGTAAAGGGGTAATTAACTTTCGTGTCCGCCCGACTGACAGCTATTTAGCGTGAACCCCAAAGAGTTAGGTCGATCTAAAGTAGATCGATCTAATCTCTGGAAATGGGGTCAGAGAGAGAGACAGAGAGAGAGAGCTGCAGTCAAACGTCTATTACTTAAAATAACAGGTGTTTGGTCGGCACGTACGCGTAATTAACATCATAACATAGCTGCCTACTCACTTCCCATCAAACGTCCTCATATGAGGATCATTATTGGACATGCATATTTTGCCCTCCACGCTGACATCTGTGTCCATCACCAGGACCTGAAAAAATTTGAAATAGCATAAAACTGCATTGGTTAACATCAAAAATGAAAAGAAACCATGTATTATCAAAACCAAGTACAATGGGAATAACTGTTATATTTCAAGTACACTGGTACAAACAGATCTGAATAATTTGAAAAATCTAATTTAAGTACGCAGAATCTACGTAGCTCTACTTTGACCTGGCCTGATGTCATACTTACCGGTATATCCGGCAGGATGTAGTCGCTCCATGCAGGATGAGTAATGAATTCACCAGTTTGTAAACTGACTCTGGTATAAGTATCTCCGTCATATACTCCATCGATAACCGGGGCTATCTTAAAGGAATGGGTCTTATTCCAATTCGCTACATTTATCTCTAGTCTGCATGGTGTCCTGTCTAATTCTGCAACGAATTCCAGTCTTTTCCCGCTATTACACAGTTGCTGTTTAGAAACGTATGGGATTCGTATCTCAATAGGCAGGACAGTTTCACTGCATTCGCTTTGGAGATCAGAACAAAGAATGGGGATCGTTGGCTGAAGCTTTACCTCAGTTGAGACAGCATCGCTTTCTCTTAATTTTATGGGCAGTTGGTTGAGAACCTACAAATGTAAACAACATTTAATACACACGCTTATTGTTGTCTATTTATCGAACCAATTTAAACGTTTTTAAAAGAATGACAAATTTAGGAAACTGATACTTTGCGTTTTATGCATTGTGGGTTGGACAAAGATCTCATGACACATAAATAGGGAACGTTAAGAACAATTGCAAGAGCCATCACATAACCGGAAGCCAGTACAATTCACGATGTCATGTCTGCCTTACCTTAAGACCAGCAAATAAACCATTGCTTTCAAGGGGATCGCTCTTTGCTCCAACCATAACACCATTTTGCTTGAATTTTGCCCTCAAAATGCATTTAACCTTGGAAAAAGAGATGCGTGAGTTGAAATGAATTTAATCCACACAATACTGAGTATCGTTGATAGATAATTTATGGTTACATTGACATTTAAATTTTTCTCTTATTTTCAATTATTAAAATTAGAACAAGGGATGGATTTTGTTCAAAGAGACATATAAACTTTTAAAATTATTCTACAAAAATGAGACCGATACTCACGCTAAAACCCAATGAAAACCTCCCAACCCAGAGAGATTCCTTCAGAGTAGCTGGCATATTAATTGTCGGAATATCTGTGTCTTCAAAAATCATCATGCCATCAAAATACCAATATGCATCAAAAAACAATTCGTCCTGTCTTTTTTCTGCTATTTCGTCATAGTTTTGGTTGCACTTGAAAAGTATTTCTCTAAATCGCTTGCCATATTGGTTTTCTCTAATGCCTTCGCCTACGGTTAATGTCGGAACCCGAGTGATGTTCGGAAAGTTATCTGGATAATATAGTTGAAAAGTTACAATTTTTTTGATAATTTCCTCCCCTATACTCCTTAAAAGCGAACCTTTACATGTACTTTTAGACCAGCAAATAAAGTTTTTGAATTAATCTGATATTTTGAACTAACCACAATAAAAGCAGGTCATTGCTGCTTTTTGCAAATGCGTTACCATAACAATAACAGTACTGGACAAATTCTTGTAAAACACATTACAGAAATAGCCTTATGTCATTTCCCAATATATTAACACGTACATGTGCAGTTATGAATTCACGCTATAAAATCCTAGGTAGTTTCGTGATTTCATTAATTTACCATCGCAAAATGAGCCATTCCCAACAAATCCAGGGTTGCACACACAGCTGTATGTTCCTGGTTCATTATAGCATGTCGCAGTGGGCGCACATTGGATAATCGATTCGTCTAAGCACTCGTTTATATCTGTAAAAAGTCGAATCGATTATGAATATTAAATGCAATGTTTTCTCAAACTTGTATTTAGAAAGAAACTTTTATGCGAAGAAAGCAATTTAGCAAAGTACTAGTTTAGCGATATTCGAAATATACTATATACATGTATATGATTTTGACTCTTCTCCACATCCATAATGTGGCGCCTTCAAATCAACTGAGAAACGAATGTATTGATTATGACTGAATATGCAGTAGGCTTGTGCATTAAAACACTGCTACTGTTTTCCTGGTTCAATACCTGTGCAAATAAATCCGTCGCCAGTGTAACCAGAGCTGCAGTGGCAACTGTAACTTCCAGGTGAGTTGACGCACACTCCCCCCACTGCGGCACACAGGGATTCATTGGCAAAACATTCGTTTACATCTGCAATGGGCGAAAATGAATAAATAAACAAGCAAACATCAATGATATAGAATTAGCACACGTGAATAAATCGAGTATATAAGAACTAAGATCACAAAATAATAATAATCGCATGTTGTTCATGGCAAAACAGCATTTAGATGCGTTAATTTTCCACAAACCATTTGGCATTTGAAATATGAGAAAGAAGTGAGAAATAGAGTGCAAAGTAATAAATAAATATTACGATTTAAAAATGAAATGTCAATATCAGTATTAAGATAGCAGGTCATGTTATTAAGGAATGATTTTCCAAACATTTAAGATATATTTTATTCCCAGATCTTCCGTGCGATATATGCATAACTACTGGAATCTCACTAAGGCGACATGCAAATCCTATATGCATATACACATGCAAGTCTGCATTTCTGAGTATTGGGCTGTCATACCCATCAAACACATAACGTTATTTTACCGTTACCATAACGTTAATTTTATCAAAAAACGTTATGGCCACGTCATGGTAACGTTATAACACTTTCTGTGTTTGCTGGGTAGAGACTACAGATTATGAGAGAGATAGTAGAAGGACGTAGAGACAGAAAGAGAGCCAGTTGTACCTATCTCACAGTCTCGTCCACTGTAACCACCAGCACAATGACAATCATACACGTGGGTCCATGGATAGTTCACACAAGTGCCATTATTCTGACACGGATTGCTGACACACGTGTTCATATCTGCATTGAAACATGGTATTTCCACTTACACTGTTTCCTCAAAATCAAAATTAAATTTTAATATTGAGCTTAATCATAATCCATTGTCTTCACTTAATTAACGTGTCCGCGTGTTTTCGTGCGGAAGAGGGTTAAATGTTTCAACCATAACATTGCCTTTTTATTTAATATATATATATAGGGGAGAGCGGGGTTGGTTGGAACACTTTTCACTTTTTTTGCGATATCTCAGCAGTCAAAGCTTTGGGGACAAAAATAAAAACACTGATAGGGGATAATTATATGCCCCACTCATCTATGAAATAAAACATCAAGTAGGTATTTTTATTTTAGAGTAATAAATACTCAAAGTTGCCTCTTAAAACGTTCCATCTCACCCCACCCGCGGGGTAAGTTGGAACAGTCAGTGGGGTGAGTTGGAACAAGAGGGCGAGTTGGAACGCTTGCATATAAATTCAAAGTATAATTCATTTTAAGAGTAGGTTTATCTATATTAATTTACCAACAAGAACGTATTATTCGTATCTCCATAGTTTGTAAGCATTTTTTAGGTTTATAATTTGCTTTCAAATAGTCTTTTCGATATATAAACCATATCCAGTTACACTTCATTTCATAATGATAATAAAAGTGGTGTAGTTTAAGTGAAAAGAAATTGAATATCACATAACCTATCAACAACAGTATGTTTGACCTACAAATGAAAACTGTATCTCTTTCAACTAGACCTCAGAATCAAAATCGCAGTTTTGACATATGCACACTCGGTCACCCTTAATTAGTACAGTCTTCATGTGACCACTTTAGACAAACAATGCATTTAACCCATTTCTCTTTTGGTCGGCTGTTACTGAACGGCTCCCCACAAACCAGACATGGCCACTCTTCTAATTCTGACTCAGAATCGCTGATCATTTTTAATTTCCTTTTTTCTTGATTTTCTCTATCGACTAGAAATATTTAACTGTTTTTTTATTTTTGTTGCACTTGTCCTTTTTAATTTTGTTGGGCTTGGTCTTTTCTTTTTCGAGTAGCTCTTTTTCAGGTGTGTCAGTTAGAACTGCACTGCATTGTTTTCTTCTTTTAATCTTTGGGCTGCGACGGTGAGCCCAATTATTGCTGGACTTGAGCTGTTTTGGGGTTTTCTTAAGTGCGCTATAGTGTGCTGTAGCACCTCTTCCGGTGAGGGCAACTGAGATTTCAACTGAAACTTTGCCTAAGTTACGAGGTGAATGTTTGTCTTTTCTGGCGGATTTTGTACTCTCGTTCACTAAACATTAACAGCAACCCCCAATCCATTACACAAAGCATTTAAAACAATATTGGCAGAATTGGTGTTGTATAGTTTTTCCATAACGTAGGCTCTCAGCTAGAATATTTTCATTTTGCCGCGAAATGCAGAGTAATAATCGACATTTTCTTCCACTTCTAACAGAAATTTATCGCAAAGAGTAACAGTTGGCATGCAGACCCCTTTCGACCAAACAGCTAGCAACTGCATTTAACAAGCAGTGACCATCCCCCCTTGTATTTTCTACAAGCATGTACATTCCGGCATCTTGGAGATGTTCTACCAGCTGGATTTCGTCTCCAGTTGGAGTTGTACTGGGTTACTACATTACTACTCTCTTTAAAGTTGAAAATAAAACATTTAGAGAGATAAAAAAAAAAATGAAAAACACCATGCGGGGTGGGTTGGAACACTCCTGACAGTGTTCCAACTGGCCCCATGTCAAATGTTCCGACCAACCCCCATGACGTCATGGCCTACTTATGACACTGTACTTCTTTAACACGTGGGAGGTGATTAAAAAAAACTACAGCTTTTTGAACATAAAGGTGGTCCTAAGCGCTATGCACAATTTCAGTGATATAATCCTTATACTTTGGTTTACAGCACGATGAGAGTAAAAAATATGAAAACTTACTTCGAGTAGCGAAAATGAGTTTTTTTCGCATAAAACTTTTACTGCATTTTCGAAACTTCCAAAAGTTTACCGGATGAATGGCCATACCAAGTGACATTTTTATTCTGAAGGAGCACATAATCGGTCTTGTGGTTTAAGATATAAAGCCAATGTTCCAACTTACCCGCGTTCCAACCCACCCCGCTCTCCCCTATATATATATATATATATATATAGAGAGAGAGAGAGAGAGAGAGAGAGAGAGAGAGAAACGAGTCTTACCTGTCTCACAGTTACGTCCACTGTAACCAGGAGCACAACGACAATAATACACGTGGGTCCATGGAGAGTTTATACAAGTGCCATTATTTTGACAAGGATTGCTGACACACGTGTTCATATCTGAATTGAAACATGGGTTTGAATGCAATCTTTACTTCACATTGTTTTCCCCAAATTAAAATTAAATTAAATTTTATCATCGCACTATTTATTAGTCAATATCTCACAGAGTAAATGGTGTCGAAAGATGAACGCGTACGGTACCTATATATTTTAGTGCAAAAGAGAGTTTAGACATGTATTAATCTTGATAATGCTTTGTTATTTTTTTAGTCAATACAGTAGAGTATGATGAATGGCGCATTAATAAAATTCATTGCCTCTTAGATATTTTGGTTTTATAAATGTTTTGCAAAGCATTTAAAATAAGATTTAATTGGTATATCTTGGCGAATGGGCATGACCTCCTGCGACAATTTACCGTGCTAGTCTCATTTTATCATGCCGTATCTCTATGAATAATATTCATTCCCAAACATTTACAAAACGGCAATTTTATTCGTTTTAGATGATTATTAATCGACACCAAACATTTTCTCTGCAATGTTAAAATGTACAAAGGCGACAAAAGAATATGAATATATGCCTACATTATGACACAAGAGCAAGATGGACATAATGAGAATGACGAAGTGTTACCTGTCTCACAGTATCGTCCACTGTAGCCATCCG